CACACACACACACACACACACACACACACACACACACACACACACACACCTACACACACGACATAGGCGTTCCGCTAAACGTTTGCTCTCGTGAAACCGATTCTCTAAATCCGATTATATTTGCATCCGCAGATGAGACAACTCTCTTCCACGAACACGGGCTCCGCCCGCGGCCGTAGCCATAGCAACAGCAGCGCCGGCAGCTTCCGCAGTACGAGCAACGGTACGCGTTACTATAGTTACCATACAATACTATCATATATATACTATACTACATAATTATACTATACTATATAGTTATACTATACTACTCGAATAATATACTATGCTATATTAGTATACTATGGTACTTAAATGTATACTAGTATACTACTACTATGAAGGGCTAATAATACACTATATAATAAGAGGTATTATTAACTCTTGCTACTATATATATAATCCAAATATACCATATAATATTACCATATACTGTACTATATAGTTGTACTATACTATATTAATATACTATACTAACTCTCTTGACACCATGTCTGTATATAGAATACGTGTGTATAAATATATCTGTGTGTTACTTTATACACTAAGTCTGTGTATAGTATACGTGTGCATATAGGTATACCTATATGTATACACTATGTCTGTATATAGCATACGTGAGTATTTATGTGTAGACACTATGTCTGTATATAGCATACGTGTGTACAGTTATATATCTATGTGTGTGTGTAGCAATGTTACCACGCAGCGACCTTGTCGTTGCATCAATAATCACGGGTAAATCTTTCATCAGAGCCTCTAGTCATGAGTGCACAGCCCGGAGCTGTGACCATGCAGGTAGAAATATACAGTACGATCGATCGTTGCTCATTTGACGGTAGATAACTGAACTACTGATTGTCTGTGAACATTGACTGTTATCAAGGATCGTGGTTATAATCGGATTGAATGAGACCATTCTAGCTTGACGTTACCTCGTCCGACGTCACTTTCTCATTCTACATCAGTTTTTTATTCTTACCGTCGGGATTATCAGAACAATTTTAAACAACTTACCCTGACCCTCTGTGTTTTTTGTTTGTTATAAAAGTATCACAGCTTGAAGACACGTCGGCACACTATTGGATAAAATATATAAATATATCGCAGCCTAATTATATATATGCATAGAAATACATAATACTTTAATTTTGTCAGTAAGAATCTGCGGTTCTTGCGCTGTCTATGGTATATACTTACTACACGTTTTATCCACGTTTGTTTCTGCTACAGGCGTAATCATAGTAACCATGCAATACCATGATATATACTATACTACATTATTATACTAAAATATTTAATATATAGTTACAAACGTACATACGTAGTTACATACGTATATAAATTAATTACTATATACTAATTTACTCCAATATATATTATACTATATTAATATACTAGATTTCTGCATCCGCTACAGGCATAACTATAGTTACCATACAATAACATCATATATACTATAATACCTAGTTATACTATATTATATTAATATATTATGTATCTGAATCTGCTACAGGCGTTCACTCGTTTGGACAGCGACCGCCACGACTCCTCGACTGTCTAAAGGATATATTGAAACGCTATCCAGAGGGAGGACAAATCTTAAAGGTGGGTTTGTTTACCATGAACAGCCACACAGAGTCGTGTGTATGAGAATGTATGAGAACAGATCTAATCACCATGGAGCGGGATGGTGCAAACGAGAAGGAGGGGGGTGTATTCTTGATATTATGACAGCATTACGCCTATAGGGCGACCTGAATTAATTCTGAACTATACTTGGTAAGATTCACGGATATGAACAACAATTCTAGCTGAAGGATTACGTGATGAAGTAGGCCTACATACCTACCCACGGTCCCGCGATGAGTAATAAAGACCAGAATAGCGAAGATGTACTAACTACAAATAATATTAGTATAGAAACTTACTATATATAAGAAGAGAGACAAGAGAGAGAGAAGAGAGAGAGCGAGAAAAGAGAGAGACCGAGAGAGCAGAGAAGAGAGAGAGAGAGAGCGAGCGACCTAGATCGATAGATAAATTACGACTGGCTAAAGCTTCCGCTCTCGATCGTTCCAGGAATTGATACAGAATGCGGAGGACGCCGAGCGAGAGAGGTAAGTCTTCTCTACGATAAGAACCGTATCCCACGGCGCTAAACCGTTCACGAGCCGATGCCAGGTCCTTTCGCTGACTTCCCAGGTAAGAACAATCACGTTACTGGTTCACCGCGAACAAATGGCCGGTACCTGTGTGTGTTGTTTATCGGTGCATGTTGAATTTGGCTGACAAATACTTGAGTTAATGTGCTGTGTCGTGTGTGTGTGTGTGTGTGTTGTGCGTGCGTGCGTTGTGTGGCGTGCGTGCGTCGCGCGTGCGTGCGCGTGCCGTGTGTGCGTGTGGCGTGTGCGTGCGGTGCGTGTCGCGTGGTGCGTGGTGCTGTTGCGTATGTGCGTGTGTGCGTGTGTGTGTGTGTGTTCTGTGTGGGAGAGTCTCAGTCTCTCCTCACAAACTGACGCAGAACAAAACCAGTTTTGTTACTCGGAAACCTCCCAATAAACTCATAAACCTGTCAAACTTGTTTGATTTGACCGACTGCATCCTCCGAACCCTATAATAATCCCAAAATAACTTTTCACCTGATGCCCACGAGTATGACATCCGTTATGTGTTATTAGTAATAAAACAATATAAACATACAACAGTAAATGTGTATGTGCACATTATCAGGAATGAATACAAACAAACATTTGTTTGTATTCTTTTCTGATAATATTTTACGGTGGTGATCAAGTTGTGATTTATGTTGTAGGGACCAGCCCTGTATGCCTACAATGACGCCCTCTTCCGGCCGGAAGACTGGGATAGCATCCAGTCTGTGCAACGCAGCTCGAAAGCCGACAATCCGATGAAAGTAGGGCGGTTTGGAATCGGATTTAATTCCATATATCACATCACAGGTGAGGGCAACACGCTACAGATGAAACGCGATTATGAAGATTATATATATTCAACGTGTTACGTTGAATATATATATAGTCGAGCTTTATCAATTATAACCTTGTTGTAATTTGTATATTATTGCAATATAGTCAGTAAAATCTAGGTTTCCAGGTAGCTGCTAGGCATTCCTGACATTGATTGTTATACATACAGTTATTGTTATTATTGCTATTATTATTGTTATTATTATTATTAGTAGTATCATCATTTATTAATATCAAGAGCTTATAATACTTAGGTATTAAGATATACCTAGGTATTATAAGGTATTATTAGCTCTTGTTAATATTGCTATTAGGTATTATTGCTGTCATTAACACTATTATTATTATTATTATTATCATTAACATGATCATTATTAATATTTATCGTTGTTCATTTTTGCATTCTATTACAGACCTGCCCAGCATTCTCAGCGGTGAGTTCGTGGGAATCTTCGACCCTCACGAGATGTTTTTCGGCGACCGTGAGACAGGCAACCGCTGGCACCTCTACGATCCAGAGATTGCCGAGCTAAGCGATCAGTTCCAACCCTACAGCGGCGTGTTCGCTGACTGCAGCGGCGGCGTCGACACCGGGTACTACGACGGAACTCTATTCCGCTTCCCGCTGCGTCGGTCGTCGTCCGAGCTCGCGTCGGCGACGTGCACGGAGAAGAACGTCCGATATCTCTTCGATTCCTTTATCGTCGATGCAGAGATCGTGTTGCTGTTTCTGAAGAGTTTGGAGTCGGTGGATATATACGAGAGGGAGCGAGGCAGCCAGCGGGCGAAGCTTCTATACCGGGTCCGCATCGCTGAAGATTGTGTCGACGACGTCCGGGACAAACGTCGGCAGTTCGTCGGCTCCATGCAGAACAATCCACATCAACGCGTCATGATGACGCACGTCGTCACCGTGGAGACGTGCGACTACAGTGGCGCCACCGCGCGGACGACGACGCGGTCATGGATGATTAATCACTACCGACCGGGCCGCGATGACGTCAGCAGAGACGTCGGCGATCTGTCGCTGCAGCTGCGCAACATTCCCTGGGTGAGCACGGCGGTGCCGCTAGATGGCGCCACCTCGCACGTCGGCCGCGTCTCCTGCTTCCTGCCGCTGCCGCCTCCGTCGACGGACGACACGCCGACGCGGTTACCCGTCAACGTGAACGCTTACTTCGGTCTGACGGACAGCAGACGAGACATTAAATGGTTGGACGCCGAGCAGAGAAACGATGCGTCTGCTAAGTGGAACGACGGGTTGTTGCGGGAAGTGTTGCCCGGGTCGTACGTGGAACTAGTGTTGGACGCAATCTCAAGCAACATGTTGGACGTCGAGAAAATTATGTCCCTGCTACCGGACATCCGGGTAGTGGACGGGAAGTGGCGACCCATGGCCGACGTCGTGCTCAGACAGCTGTTCGCTCATCCGATATTCCACTGCGACGCGAACGGCGGCAGCTGGCTCCGACTTCGCGACGTCGTATTGGATAGTGACGACTCCGTAGCAGACTACATCCGGCGGTCGGCGAGGAGCGTGTTGCTTGACGTCGGCTACCCCGTCGTACTGCTTCCGTCGGCCGTGCAGACGACCGTGCAGGAAGTCTGTCCGTTCTACAATTCCGTGAGGAAGATGACGCCCGGGTTGGTTCGCGAGGCGGTGAGGCGTTGCCATGACGACGATATCGGTAGATACTCTCGCGAAGATCAACTCGCTTTCCTCAAATACTGCCTCTCCGATGAAAACTACGGTGATCTCAGAGGACTGCTTCTGCTGCCGCTAGAGGGTGAGAGCTTAACGCGGTTTGTGACGTCAGGCGGTGCCACAGCGGAGGTGTTTGTGGTCGATGATAATGAATATGATGGATTGTTCCCCGGGCTTGAAGAGATTATGCTGGACCGATCACTAAGTCAAGACCTGGTGAACGAGCTCATCCGAACGGAAGGTAAATGATAGTTGTATAAGGACAAAATAATGCTGTGTAATGTCGTGATATCGAAATTTAAATCTAATGAAATGTATATCTAATATTTTTATTTTTATGTGCAAAATACTGATGCTTAAAAGGTCTATACCTGCATCAGAGTGTTTATTAATTAAGCTTCATTCTTAAAGTTTTATTCACAAAAATCAGTAAACATTTTAATTATAATAAATTTATAAATTATAAATTGATAACAATTGACGTATTAATTTATTATTAATACTTATAAATTGATAGATCTCAGTTCATAAGGTTTTATCCATAAAGGTTTATTAAATAGAATTCCGTTTGTCGTTAGTTATTGACAGTAGAATATTCATGATCCACAGGAAGAACGCAGTTGAAGCTGGTAACACCGGACCTCGTTCCTCTGCTCGTGCAAATGACGCTGGAGAGAATGCCAGAGCTGAGTGCTGCGTGGATGAAGCGACTGTGGAGCTACCTTCTCCGCAACCTCCCCGAGGACCTCTCCCTCTTCCACGACATGTCCATCCTCCCTGACGCTTCGTGTCTGGAGACGTTCAGTCTCTCTCTTCCGTCGGCCGTCATTCTACGACAGATGCACAGCGACACGATACCGCCAGAGGTCGCTGAGGGGCTGCAGGAGCTGGGCATGTGCGTCGTCGACGTCCCGACGTTCGCGCTCGCTCACCCGCAGATTACGAAATACGTAAACCTGCCGACGCCCGTCGGCGTTCTCACGGCGCTAGCGACGCGTCTCTATGACGACGATTGTCTCGACGAAGCACAGGAAGCCGTGGCGGAACTAGAACCTCGCGTAAAGAGGGCGCTGCGGAAGTTCTTCAGCGGCGCGAATTCGCTGGACGACAGCGCCACCAACATTCTCCGCGCGTTGCCTATCTTCGAGGCGAACGCACGCGGAGCCGACGAGCCGACGTTTGTCTCCGCTAGGGATGTCACGTGTTCGACCCCGCAGACGATGCTTCCCGTCACCATCCCGGACACTCTCATCGACATCAACTGCGATAGACATTCCCTCGATCTCGCCGAGCAGCTGGGAGTAGAGGAGTGCTCCCTGGTCGATGTACTACTAGAGAGCGTGCTGCCGGCCGTGGCGGAAGGATCCTTCTACGACGCGGAGAACGTTGATAAACTCGCCGACTGGATGTCACGCAATTTTAACGACGTGTTGCGCGATAGTGAATCTGTGATCAGTGCTCTGAGTGATTTATCGTTCGTGACGAGTGGAGAGGGAGGGGGAGAGCGAGTGAGACCCGGAGAGTTATACGACCCGACGTGCGAAAAACTGAAAAAGCTGTTTGCGATGGAAAATCGCTTTCCCGTGGGAATATACGCTCGCGCCGACGTGGTGGCCATGTTGAAGTGTCTAGGACTTTTGTCGTACGAGCAAGTGACGATCAATCATGTGATTGATGCGGCGCGTGCCGTGAGCTCGCACGATGGCACGGGGGAAGGGCTGCAACCTACCCGCGAGAAAGCTCACGCGATACTGCAGTGGCTGGAGGAAAATGTAGAGCAGATCGATGGCACAGACGCTGCGTCTAACTTTGCCGATATAAGATTTGTATCGTGCGAGCGTGCGCCTACGTTAATATACCCGAAACAACTGCATTTCGAGACGGTCGATTTCGCGCTACCTTACGAGATCGTTAGCGATGAGTACGTTCATCTTATTGGATCCGTCGTGCCGACGGTGGCGGCAACGAACTATCCGATGACGGCAAAGCTTTTCGGCTGGACCGAAAGTCCCGCTTTGCCGAGCGTGCTTGAGCACTTTAGAAACGTTGTCGACGCGTTTCACAGCGCGGAGAAAGGTCACTTCGAAGCGGTCGTCTACAGCATCTACAAGTACCTCAGCGACAGCGACGATTCCGACGTCGTCCAGTCTGTGACGTCGGCTGCGACGCCGTGGGTGTGGCACGGCGACGGATTCACGACTGCCGACAGAGCCTTGACGTCAGTCTCTAGCAGTCTCGATCTTCACCCGTACGCTTACGTCACACCGCCGATGTGCACGGAATTCGAACCTTTCTTCGTGCGATGCGGTATCGACGAACGACCGTCTCAAGAACGCCTCGTTAACATTCTACACGAAATTAGAGACAAGTGGGCGCACTGTCAGACGATTCATCCGTTCGACGAGTACGCCAAGGACAAGTTCATGGTGCTGCAGATTCTCGAATACGTCAAGTCAGACAATGAAAACGACAACGACGAGCTGCCGTACGACGTCAGAACGCGTCTTCTGTTGCCCGTGGCAACGACGAACGGGAGACTGGAGTTTGCGCTCGTGGACGAATGCACATACTGCGAACCGGAAGAACAGTGGCTGTACGAACAGTACATGGAGATCGAAGGCGGTACACAGAAACTGAAGTTTGTACATCCAGAAGTTCCGAAGTCCACGATCGAACTGCTCGGTGTTCCTTCTCTATCGAAACAATGGGTTGAAGCTGATGACGTCATCGGATTCGAACAGGCGGGTCAACAGGAACCGCTGACGCGTCGCATACACAGACTACTTCAGGAGTACAGCGACGGTCTGTCGATCCCGAAAGAGATCATTCAGAATGCCGACGACGCTGGCGCCACCGTCGTCAAGTTTCTCTACGATCGACGACAGCATTCCGAATCCCAGACACAGCTGCTCGATAAGGCGATGGTAAAGTGTCAAGGTCCGGCTTTGTTCGCTTACAATGACGGAGTTTTCACCGACGAAGATTTCGTCAACATCACGAAACTGTCCGGCGCAACGAAGAAGGAGAAGACGGAGAAGATCGGCCACTTCGGACTCGGTTTCAACTCGATCTATAACATCACGGACGTGCCGAGCATCGTGAGCAGAAACTACGTTCTCATCTTGGATCCGACTACGGCGCATCTCGGCCGGCAGATCCGAGACAAATCGAAACCCGGAATCAAGATCAACACGCGCAAGCGTTACTTGGACATATTCGACAACCAGTTCAAACCGTATCACGGCGTCTTCGGCTGCTGCCTCTCCGGCGAAACCGGATTCAAAGAGTTCGACGGAACTCTGATCCGGCTTCCGTTGCGGACGACAAGCAGCGAGATCTACGATAAGTGTTACACGGATAACGACATGGTGGACCTGCTCTCTATTCTCGCGAAAGAAGCCAATACGCTCCTGCTGTTCACGCAAAGCGTCAAGAAGGTTGAAGTCTACATACAAGATGACAGTGATGTGCTATCCCCCGTAAAGCTGCTATCCATATCAAAAGCAGCGCAGTCATACGTGAGAGAACTCAGGGCGCCGCTAAACCTAGCAAACTGCGATCGTTTCACACAGCAGACAAGCATACTGAGAGCGTCCGCCTTCAAACTCAAGGAGATAAAAGAGATAGACGAAGATCCGCAGTCGGTAATGATGGACAGCAGCATCGTCATACAGATGGGATGCAGAGTGACGAAAGAAGGAAGAGATTTCTTCCGCGATCAGGCCGCGTCGACTAACTCTGTCTCGTGGCTGATATGCTCCGTGATGGGTGGCAAAGATGCTTTAGCTTTGGCTAAGACTAACCGCTCGCTCGTTCCGTGTGCATCGGTTGCGGTGCCCGTCGAAAAGGTCGATAAGGATGAAGATTATTTTATTCCTCATTCCGTTTCTAGTCCCGAGTGTTCTAGTCAAACGACGGGCGCGGTTTTCTGCTATCTCCCGCTGCCGATCGTGGCTGGACTGCCCGTACACGTAAATGGATCTTTCGCCATTACTCCCAGCCGCAGACACCTTATCGAGCGGGTCAAGTCGGACAAACCTGACGTGAGAGTAGATTGGAATGAAGCGATGATGGAAACGCTCACACTGGCCTATCTCAGGATGCTGAGCGACGTAAAGAAGCTTCTACCGCCGACGTTCACATCGTATCACTACCATCATCTATTCCCACTGCCGACGCACGGAATCTGGAAGATCTTAGGCACTTGCTTCTACAAGCATCTGGCCACGTCTCCCAAGGCTTGCCTCTTCTCTGACGAACACGGATGGGCGGCTCTCACACGCTGCGTGTTCCTGGATACGGACATCCGCTGTGCTCCCGGGATAGGCGACACAGCCCTCGCCGTGCTGCGCCTCCTAGCGAACAACATGGGCAAGCTCGTCATCGATATGCCGCCTGAGATATTCCAGGAGTTCCTAGCAGCGGGATGCAGGGAGGAGCTGCACGGGAGCATGTACACTCAGGTGGAGTTCTTCACCGAACTCTTCCTCCCCGCCCTCGGCGACATACCGGCGGCTCTCCGCGATCCGCTAGTCGTGTTCGCTCTCGACAGCGGATGCGAGGAAATACAGAGAAGCTTGAGCGAGTGTAACTGCATTCCGGCGTCCCCTGGCGGCGAGTCTCTCAAACGACCATCGGAGCTGTTTCACCCGGAAGGCGCGGCTTCTCTGCTCTTTACAGGAAACGATGGTAGGTTCCCGTTTGGCACGAAAGACACGTATTGCAGTCCTCAGCGATTAGAGACTCTCTGTCAACTAGGAATGGCCAAGGATCATCTATCGTCAGAGGATATACTTGATAGAGCGTTGTCTGTCGCTCGCATCCCACACCACGCTGATTCCCTACGGCAATGCAGACTGTTGCTATCACACCTGGAAAACAACCCAGACATGCTAGACAGCGTTGACCTCCGTCACATTCCCTTCATTCCAGTTCTCGCCAGACCAAGCGACCACCCGGTGGAGTTACCCTGGGGAGGAGACACAATCTCGGAAAGATTTCTAGCTCCCGACCAACTGTGGGTGGCGTCAACTAAGAATGCCATCGGTGTCGTTAACGCAATCGTTGACGACAAAACCGTTCCCGTCAGCAATACAATCACTGAGAAACTCAGCTTTAGAAGTGCACCGATCATCGAGGATGTTGCAGAACAGATGCGCATAATCTGTCGAGCGAATCTCGACCTGAAGGATAAGAAACTTGCGACATTTATTCAAGCGGCATTCAGAGAGGCCTACACGCATCTACAACACGTCGTGGAGAAAGATTCGGAAGCTCTTGAAAACGCGAAAGAGATTTTGCAGGGTCAACCATGCATACTGGTCGGAACAAACTTATTAGGGGTAGAGCAGGTTGCGTTTGAGTGGAGCACAACGTTACCTCCATATCTTTTCGAGTTGCCTTTAGAACTGAGAACCCTCTATAAGGACGTCTTTGAGCACCTGGGCGTGAAGCAAAGGTTTGACTATCGAGATTACATGACCGTCCTTCAACAGATCCGCAAAGACTACAGCAGCAAGCGACTCGGAGGAGAAATCAGTGACGTTGTCGTCACACTCATTCGACTCCTCGCTACAGAAATGAAAGCAGCTCAACTGACGACCGAGGACGTCGAGAAGGAATGCGGTTCCATCATCCTGTTAGACAACCATGGTGTCATGCAGCTTCGTAGCTTGCTCTGCTTTAACGATTGCCCTTGGGTGCCCGATGACTCATCGTTCCTCTACGTCAGCACAAAGATCGACTACCACACTGCGTCCGTGTTCGGAGTCAGAACAAAGAAACGAGAGAACGTTCTACGCATCGCGGAAGGATTCAAGCTGCCGTTCGGACAACGGGAGAAACTGACGGGCAGAATAAAACGCATTCTAACCGGATACAACGAAGAGGATGAAATTCTTAAGGAGATGCTACAGAACGCAGACGACGCCGGTGCGACAGAGATAGCTTTCATAAACGACAGCCGGCAGTTAAAAGGCGATCATTTACTAGACGACAACTGGAAGATGATACAAGGTCCATCTCTCTGCGTCTACAACAACGCTCCGTTCAGACCTTCGGATATAGTTGGGATTCAGAATCTCGGTGAAGGGAGTAAGGCCACCGACTCGTATAAAATGGGTCGCTACGGAGTCGGGTTTAATGTCGTCTACAAGGTGACAGATCTGCCGACATTCCTTACAAAAGGCGACGAAATCGGTGAGTGTCTCTGTGCGTTGGATCCACACGCTTCATACTTGTCTGGGACAACGCCGGACACCACGGGCGTCATGCTAAGAGTGAGTAGTTCGGTTCGGGACACTTACAGCGACATGTTCGATTGTTACATAAGCGACGAGTTTCACATGCAGAACGCAACGATGTTCCGATTGCCTTTACGAAATCGCAAAATGGCGGAAACGTCCAAGATCAGTTCGAGCGAGGTATCGAATAAGGACATATCTCAGATGTTCGAAATCTTCAAGCAACAGATGCTAGACATTCTACTATTCACTAACAATGTGAAGACAGTAAAACTCGTTCAGATACCGATGGCGGAAGGTGACATTGAGGAATACATTGTCACCACCTCACTCTCTAAACACGACGAGATCTCTAAGTTGTCCTTCATTCAGCACGTACGCGATATTTCACTGTCACTCAGAGAAGGAAATCTCAAACTTGAGGACATCGACAAACGGACGGTCTCGTACGTGGTACACGTTAGCGACAACAAGGGAGTAAATGAAACGTGGACCGTCAATCAACAAATCGGGTTCGAGCCTGGCACCACCATACCCGAAGCGGTGACATCAGCCTTTGCGAGTAAAGAGTTAGCAATGTTGCCGTTAGCGGGCACGGCAGCGCAACTACCAACTAATGTTGCTCCGTCCGCAGCGAACCACGAGAAGAGAAAATGTAAAGTGTTTTGCTACCTGCCGCTGCCCGGTTCCTCGGAGCTAGACGTACACGTAAATGGACAGTTTATTCTCGATCACGAAGCGCGCAGACGACTGGAAGATGGCGGCGGCTTCAGACGAGCATGGAACATGGCCCTCATCGAACATGTCGCGGCTCCGTGCTATCTCGCTCTTATCAACGCCATCAAAGACGAACTCGATAAAATACTCGCGCGCGAATACAAATGCAATCACGCGAGATCGGACGGCGGTCGGGAACTTGTAATCGATCGACTGAAAGCATACTCGTCGGTTTTCCCGCCACCCGGACTCCCGGCGGATACATTCTGGCGCGCACTGAGCTGCAGTGTATACACTGCAGCGAACGCAAACAACGCCTCTATTATTCCTGTTGCTCTCACTCAGCAGCAGCAGTATCGGGTAGACTGGTACCCGCCGAGTGAAGTAAACTTTCGCGCTTCAACGACCGAAGAATTACGCGTCGATAACAACAAACTCGATGTTCTGGCGTCATCAAGTCGACTCGATGAAATCCTGCTGGATATCGGATTTAGAATCGCCGCGTGTCCAAACTCAATCCGTCAAGCGTTCGCAGAAGCCGATGAGATAGTCAGCCACGTAACGCCGACAACTGTAATCTCGTATCTCAGAGGCGCCATGGAATCGTTGCCGTTACCGTGCCACATAACAAAAACGAAATTCAAGTCTGTCGACAGACTAGAAGCGTTGATAGACTTCTGCAAAGACGCTGACGATTTTTTCGAGGAGCTTGCCGGCTTACCTCTGCTGCTGAGAAACGATCACACACTTCAGAGGTTTAGCACGGATGCGCCTGTCTACCTGACGGAGTTTGCCGATCTACTGCCAGACGAGCAACAAGCGTTTCTACACAACAGTCTCGCGTCTCGTTTCAAACCGGCAATGGCGGTCGCAGACCCCAAGGCTGTGTTCAGGCGGTTCACGCCCGCTGATCTCGCGTCGAGGTTGGAAGGCGTGCTAGACAGCGGGACATTTCTCGAGCAGAAATACGTTCAGACGAGTAATGACATGTCGCCGTGGCTGCGGCGTCTCTGGACGTTTCTCAGGGAATGCGCGCACGAGGACGAAGCCGGGAACACAGACGAGCTGTTCAGGCCGATAGAGAAATGGTGTCTGTTACCGGTAAAGGTGGCGACCTCTGCCGGGATGACGGAGTCGTATCTCGTGCAAATATCGCATGCGAATCTCATACTGGACCTCAGCGTTGAAACCTCTCCAGCCGATATTTCTCAGAAGATGAAAACCGCTTTGACGGCGCTTGCAGTTCCCGAACTAGACGTCGGGTTAATTTACGAAGAAAAGGACGCGGAGATGGTAACGGCAGAGAGGGACATACCGCAGGCGCTGTGTGCAAATCTGATGAAGGCAGAGAGTATCCTGCAGGCGATCAGCAAGGCAAGCAAAGATGACAGGCTGGTGATGCGATCAGCGACCGCAGAGATGTGCGGGGACATCCTCATGTACTTCTCCCAGAACATCGCAGCACTAGAGGACGTGGAGGACAGCGATGAAGTGCTGCGTGCGCTCCCGCTACACGTGACGATAGGCAATAAACTTGTGAGTATCGCAGAGACGGACGCCTTCCTGATCTCCAGCCAGAGCAAGCTGCTACAGATGGACCAGCGCTGGATGGACTACTGCGATGTCACTTTTCTCGTGAAGCAGAGTCACAAACTCATCGATCTCTACAACTTCCTCGACTGTCCCGAGATGGAGCCGACCGAGTTGTACCTCAACCACATCCTCACGCACTTCCATCGTTTCTCCCCGGACGCCATGGCGCAACACATGGAGTACGTTCGCGATAGGGTGTGGAAGGACTGCATGATGTCTGCCGGACAGAGAGGGTTCCTCCTTCAGGAATCCCTTAAAAAGCTTCATTTCCTACCGGGAGCAGACGGGAAGCTGCACACCGCATCCTACTTCTACGATCCTAAACAGAAGACGTTCGAGATGTTACTGGATGCTGAGCGATTCCCTCCGTCTCCTTACAACTCTGACGAATGGTTGCCGCTGCTGCGTAACGTCGGACTGAAGAATTCGTTGACGTGCGATCTGTTTCTGGAGTTCGCGCGGAAGATTGCGAGCGAGGCGGCGACGGCGACGCCATCGGAAGAAACGCGTGAGAAGAGCGTCACGTTGGTGAACTATCTCTTCGGTAAGATGTTGGTCTCCCACGACTACTCTTCCGACGATCTGCTAGGTCTACTCTCAGCGATAAAAGATCTAAAGTTTTTAGCACCGGAGACGATGAGCGGAGAACTGCTGGATTTAGCGCCCCCTTACGGTCAGCAGGAGACTGAGTGTTATGTGAGGTTTAACGGATCCGTATGTCCGGGGTACACGAAACTCGCATGGGCCGTCAGCACGCTCTTACCTCCGTACGCCGACCCCACGAAACACTACACGAGCAGACTCGACGGACAGAGCATCGTAAACGCACTCGGAGTGAAGTCCGTCCCGGGGAATTCTACCGTCGTCAACAACGTCACCGCCGTCGTCGGTCACGTGATGAACTTCCGGGAGGAAGTCGTCGCCGACGCCGAACTAAAGCGACGCGTCGACTGCGTCACCGACCACTTCCGGTTCCTGAAGGAACACGCTCCGCTAGACAAGGAAACTCAGATGAAACTCGGCTGGACGAAATGCGTGCCGGTTGAGATGGGCAGGACGTTCGTCGAACCGTACAAGATCGTGATCGAACTAGCGGTGGAAGACGAAATTCCACCCTTCCTCTACAAGATTCCTCTCAGCATGGGACCCTTCTCCGACCTTCTCTCTCAGCTCGGAGCAGCACACACAGTGACGGTCGCCCAGTACGGGAAGGTTCTCCATAATCTATACGAAGAAACGAAATTCTCCGATTCGAAGCTTCACCCGAACGAATGCGTGCTGGCGTTCAGAGCCATCAAGAAACTCCTCACGTCTCTGAAGGACTCCGGCGCCGGCACCGAGTTAAAACGATCCACCGTCTACCTTCCCAGCAAGTCGCTGAGAATGTACAAGAGCACTGACCTCATCTTCAACGATAAGCCTTCCTTCAAGGCGGTCACTCTGAATAAGGAGTACGTCATCAGTCTGAAGGAATGCGGAATCGATGGCAGTGATTATGATTACTGGAAGCTGCTACCGGATGAAGTCCGTCCCAAGATGTTGAGTGACCTTGTCGAAGAGAGGATGCTAACAGACGTTGACGAAGCAATCGAATGCTGCTCTCTGCATCACTCTGTTAGACGTATGCTGACGTCACAATCTTTCCAGTGGGCTCTCCTCAGACTCATCGCGCACGAGCGCCACCTACGAGGCGCCGCCCCCGACGAGGGGGCGCTGGAGGCGGACATCGTCGGTTGCCTGGCGACGCTGACGCTACACTGCGTCGACGAGCTTCGCGTTGGCCTGACGTACAAGACGTCGTCGCTGCAGATACCCGAGACTGCCGTCGACATCCCGTGCTTCGTGCGGAAAGACGCGGCCGACGACGACGGCGGCAGTCTAACGATGATCTACGTCAACCACGGGAAGGAACTGAAGGGAATGGTCGAGAAGACCATCGCTACCTTCCTCTGCGACCACTTTGTGGAGCTGGACCGCAGGAAGGACGTGCTACACGTGCTACTCAGTAACGAAGACAGTCACATGCTCATCCTAGATCAGTACAACATCAAGAAGGACGAGCAGGACGAGGGAGCGGACGAGGAAGCGGCGACGTTGCCGAAACCTGGAGACTTCATTCCCGTGTCCGATCAGCATCTGCTGCAGCAGAGCTTGGATCGACGTTCGTGCTTCCGGCCCGGAGAGTACGTCGGCTACGAAGTCGACTGCGAGGAGCAAAGCGCCACCTATCTGTACGCTGTCATCGTCGACGCGATGAGAACAAGAGGTGACGACGACCAGTCGGCCATCACGAAGAAATACCGGATCGACGTCGGCCAGCGCACGCCCGTCGTTGCCATGGCGACCGACATCTACAAGTTCATACGTCCGGAGAAGACGTCGTCGTCGGACGAACTGGTCGTGTACGAGTCGCAGCTAGAAGGTGACGCTGCCGAGGCGCAGCGCGTCGACGACCACGCCACCAAGCGGCAGAAGACGGTGGAGCAGATGAAGCGGGAGGTGACGCAAACATTGGAGGAGACGTGGCGACTGCCGGACGCCGAGAGAAAGAAGGTGCAGCGACGTCTCTATCTCAGCTGGCATCCGGACAAGAACCCGGATGACGTCGCCACGGCGACGACCGTCTTCAAGCACCTCCAGGACGAGATACAGCGCATTGAGAAACGCAAGGAGAAGCTTTCGACGAAGACGTGGGACTCGTGGGCGAAGCGCCACAGCGAGCAGAGACAACGCTACCAGGAAAACATGCGAGAGAACTACGAGGAGGAGGAGGCGGCGGGAGAGGATGCCACGGACGGCGGAGCGGAGAAGGGTGCGGCGCGCAAGAAGAGACCGCGGCGGCAGAAGCGGCAGAAGGCGGCGGCGAAGGAGTCGGAGTTCGTGCCTCCCCCGACGTTTGAGAAGAAGAACCCGCAGCCGGGGGAGGCGAAGCGCTGGTACAGGCAGGCAGCCGAGGATCTGAGGGCGGCTTACCACGATCTTAACTCACACCCGCCGTCCAGCATGTGGGCTTGCTTCAAGGCTCACCAGGTATGTAACACCGCGCTGCTGTGAAGCTGTGTGTGTGTGTGTGTGTGTGTGTGCGTGCGTGCGTGCGTGCTTGCGTGCGTGCGTGGCGGTGTGTGTGTGTGTGTGTGTGTGTGTGTGTGTGTGTGTGTGTGTGTGTGTGTGTGTGAGAGAGAGAGAGAGAGAGAGAGTGAGGTGTGTGTGAAATTGTGAATGCATAGTATAATGCGCAGCACACCCTAGTGATGCGACTAATGATATAACTGATTAACGAATAATTGCTTAAACAAATGTGTTTGCGCGACTCATACTATACGTACCTCAATGTGTTGGTGATGGTCAACGATATCGAATAATTCTCAGTAATCTATTCCTAACACTATTAATGTCGGTAATTTACACACTAACATTGCAGAATGTTTTTTTGTTGGCGATTTGAACTGTAATAATGGATTATTTGTTTGTTTTCTACATCGCAGTCTGCAGAGAAAGCTATCCGGGCAGCCCAGCTGTGGGAAGACGCTATTCAGATCGACTCCCACGATCTAACGGACATTTCCCGCGAGCTAGATCACAAGGAGCTGAAGGCACGCGCGCGCCATCTACAGTCGATTTTAGGAGATGCCGAGAGAATGCTGTACCCGGGAAAACTACAGTACCCACAGATACCGTCCGAGAGATATCCGCATGGTAATGATGTTTACAGCGAATCTAGTATGTAGTGGGGAAAATAATAGTTTAATTAACTTTAATTAATGATTACCAATTAACGTTAATCGTTAGTTAACATACTTGTGCTTAATTTCTGACCCTTAGCAGACAATATTAATTCGAAGTGTTGTTTTTTACCGCCATTACCCTGTTCTGTTTTGTCACAGTAAATAGGCTACCAGCACTGATTACTTTGTAATAATAAATTATTACAAATATTGATCCTAAACAACGGAAATTCGATTCATCTTTACGATTTATTGCGATTTGTTTACAACAGTCTTGCGTTCGCTGCAGATAAAGCCGTCAGAGTCGTGGAGCTGGCCGAGAAAATCATCGGCTATGTCGAAGCCGTCATCGAGGTCTGACCACCAGGTGGCACCCCTATCGGCGACTGCAGGCAGCGCCACACAGCGTCGGTTCACGGCTCATGTCATTTCGGCTTCAATCGAGGATCCATGAGAATCGATGATCGATCCGTGATGGATCGATAATGGATCGATGATGGATCCACGAGGCATCGGCAACTGCGTCGCATTCCCTAGCAGGCTTTTGTTCCAGTAAAACTGCGACACTGTGTTGTGTGGGTGAGGTTGCAAAGCCCACGCGGGAGAGATAAACCTATTGCTATACATCAGGCGTCGACTGAAACAAACCGGAATAAAGTGACTTGCTAAAGGGGTGAATAGTAGTGGACTTGGATAGAGCCGAACCCTAGAGCTTCCAGTCCGAAGTTATTCGTGCAGGCCACGAAAGAAATAGTGCTAAATAGCACAACTTTCTTACTTGTGATGAGAAACTGTTACGTCATCTGCGTTCACAATGTGCGAGCGTACGATTAACAGGTTCAATTAATTGATTAATTGCTTTTAATTAATTTATTTTTCTACGCGAATGTTTTTTCGCCGTGCTCGTGTATAATGAGTAGGGAGATTTAGTAACCCCGGGAACGCCAGCTAGTTTGATTAGATTTTATTGTTAGCAACATTATTGATGTAGTGCATGGGACGATAGGCTGCACGTTGAAGTCTGCGAAAATGTAAATTAGGGGTTTGAGATATTTGACAGCATGTTCTAACAGCATAATCTTTACGCGCGTAGTTAAAGAGATTAAAATCCAAGAGGTTTTGTACATAAGTAGAAATGGCGGTACACTTATTCAGAATAATAACCGAGCTGGGCTTGTATTCGTACCTAATAATCACATATATATGTATAGAGGGATTGGTAGTTTGTACATTGACATTGTTACGAAGATGGGTGGTGCGGCAACAGTTTTATACGCGTTAGAGACACGGGCTAATAAGCGTTTATATATAACTTCATTGTAATTAATTCCATGAATTTATCATGTAATAATGGGTATAATATAATATAACATATAAATCTCTAAATATAATATGTGCGTGTGCGTGCGTCGGGCATGCGTGCGTGCTTGTGTGTGTGTGTGTGTGTGTGTGTGTGCGTGGTTGTGTGTGTGTGTGTGTGTGTGTGCGTGCGTGTGCGTGTGCGTGTGCGTGTGCGTGCGCGTG